AGTTTGCTTTTTATTATTGGATATTCACTTTCTAGCTTGCTCTGCTATTTTTTTCTGATCCTTTAACAAAATGTTCAGGTTATGAGAAATAAGCCAGTTGTGCTGGTGTTTCATATATGCTTAACCTGCCGTTTCAAATTTTCCACTCAGTACCTGTGCTTGCAGACAGATGGGGTCGGGAAAGGGGGGACAGGAATTGGCTCAACTAGAAAAAAGCTTCGTGGTTTTCCCCATGTACAAAACAGCTAAATTCTGCCTTGTAAAACCTAGCAAATGCTTTGTTTGAAGAAGAAGAGAGAAGAAAGATGTGAGGAAGTATCCTGAATTTGTCCCCCACTTGCAGATGAAGAGAGCAGATCAGGGTCAGACATTGTCCTAGCTGTCCCCCAAAAAATCTCACAAAAAGCTATTATTATTTGCATTGTCCATATTAATTTTTAACATTACATTTGTATATTTCTTTTTAGCTTATAATCCAGGTTCCTCATTTCATAAATGAGAAAAAAACACACACAGAAAATCTGCTTTATTAAAATGTTTTGGGGGCTCACATAGTTAATTAAATCGCAAAAACAGTTAGTCTAGGCTTCCAGGTCCTATTGCCTCATTTATAAATGAAGGCAAGGGACACGAAGGGGTTTGAAACACCCAAGGAGCATAGTGGCCCAGGGCAGTGTCAGGCTGACAGGGGTTCCCACACTGGTACCAGGCTGGGGCTTTCCGGCTGGATTACGGAGCCTCGTGCTCTCTTAAACCCGCTCACGCTTGAGGCAAGAGCACCAGGAGCCAGCTAAGGAGTGGAATTTCTCCTTTGTGCTTAGCAGGAAATAAGTGAGATTCAGTTCTCTGTAGTTAGCCTGTGCTTTTCAAAATAAAATGAAGATAAGAATAAATGCCTCTGTGCCTTCCCCCATACCTGGGGAACAGTGAACCTGTTGAATAATGGACCCTTTGTCTTGCAGGCCAGTGCAGGTAGATACTGGCTTTGGGAAGCAAGCCTGGGGTGGAGAGGCTGCAGGAGCACAGGGCAGCCTTGCCCTAGGAATTGCTGAGGGTGGCTGGTGTTTTCTCTTGCCTTTCTGCGGAACGCTGATTTTACTCTGAGCACACCTTACTGGAAAGTTCCTGCGAGTGCAGTCACAGCTGATTAAAAAGTGCATCTGAGATGTTTATTCTTCCAGCTCTATGAGGGGTTTAGATCTGTAATTTTTACAACTCCTGGATAGAAACAAAGGAACGCAGTGAGAGGAGAGGAATGAGGAGTTTGCCCAAGCTAGGGGGCCTGTGGTTCCAGAAAGTGAGTTGGCATTGGGCCAGCAAGGTTGGCGCTGCCCTGATCTCCTCCTGGTGGTCTGTTTGGGAGTGTCCTCCCAGCCGCACCTGCCCTTGTGGAGTCATCCCGTTGAGCCTGGATGGGAAATAAACAGGAAAGTGAGTCAAAGAGAAGCTAAACACAGTCTCCCTGCCAGGGGCCTCACTCAACTTTGTGTTCAGGAAAACCCACGTGCCTGGCTTGATTGCACACTCAGACGCAGGCTCCTGGGAAGAGCAGGCTCCCCAGAGAGCTGGGGCAAGGAGCAGCAGTGTTTCCCAGCCCTTGGTGACTCCAGGTCTCAGAGGCTGCAGATACTGAGCTGGGACCTCCTGCAAACCCACCATTGGTGCCATTTGGACACCCGGGTATCTTTTAGAATCTGTACATTATCATTTACCTTAATACACAGAATTTTAAGCTCTCTCCCAAAGCCCTGTTGATCGTGCCTTTATTTAAAACTTTCATAGTTTGTTCATCGTGGATTTTTGCATTAAATTTGTGTTTTTATAGATCATATTAAATTATTACTGATCTTGATTACTGTTTTGGGCCCTCTTAAATTTTGCACTGGTCTGGAGAGGGCCCACTCTCCTCACTCCAGTGGCTGCCCCTTGTGTCACCCCAGGAACAACACATACCATTGCTGTGGCCTCAGAGCCACAGAACCTGGAAGGAAGCTGAGTCAAGCCCGGTTCCCAGGCTACTCTTCTGCGCACCCGCAGTGAGTGTGTCACTCAGGCAGCGCATGGGGAGCCTGTGCACCCTGAGGGTGGAGCCAGGACTAGACAGATCCCCAGTCTCCGGGGATGAAACTTCCCCTCACTTCAGGCAGCCTGTGCCCAGAGATAAACCTGCCTGCTTAATCATTTTCCCACTGGACTGATTCCTCCTTTCTGTTACTTGAGCATATTGAGGGGATGGGAGGGGCGCAGGGAGGTGGGGTGCATTTCACAGAGGCTTTAAGCAGACATGGAAGAGCCAGAAGGGACAGAGGCCTTAGTCCTCGCTCCTGTCTGTTGAATCTCCTCCCTCGGACGCGTCCTGAAGGCAGCATGTGAGCTTCTCTTTTGGAAGCTGCACTCTGGGGCTGCAGGCAGGACCAAGTGGCAGCACAGCACACAGACCTTTCTGATGCTGAGGGCAAGTTAGTCATGCTTGGAGATTTACCAAACAGAAAAGCAAAGAAAGCAATGTGCTCAGCTGCCCTGATTTATAACCTGACCAGGTTCCCGTGACCCACACCTCTAAATCTTTACTTCTGCAGGGTGCTGCTGGGTTCCCTGCCCGCTCCACCCATCGGGGCCTGAACATGATTTTTCTCGGTGGCATTTTTACCATTTCTCCTCCCCTCTCTCTTCAGTGAAAATGGAAAAGGCGAGGAGGAAGGAAGTCTACAAAATAAAGTAAAAACCCGCTTTGCAGTAGAGTTTGGTTTTAGAAATAATTTCCACGAAAAACTGCCCCGCTGGTATTAGGCCTGGGTCTCAGTGATGGGGTCCTTGGTTGCCTTTTAATCATCGCCGCCTTATGAATGTCTGTCTGGAATGTGACCGTAGCGGGGCTGGTGTCTGGCCGCCCCGCAGTCGGCCACCGGGGAAGGAGAGGGCAGCCGCAAGACGTTCCCACCCTCTCGTGTGCACTCAGGAATTTGAAAATAAAACTCATGTGAAAACAAGAAGAGCAGCAGTGCTTCCTTCTCGCTGCAGCCAGATGCCTGTGTTGACCATATCCTGAATGGTTAACTTGTCTTTTCATCTTTTGAAAGTGGTCTTTTTTGGATGAGATCCATTGGATCAGTTTTTCCTTTCATGGGTTATGTTTTGGGCATTATGTCAAAGAACTCTTCACAAAGGGCAAGGTCCCAAATAATATCTCCTTTTTTCTGTAAGTTTTATATTTATGTATTGTGCGTTTAAGTCCATGCTCTATTTTGAGTTCGTTTTTGTATAAGGTGTGACCCTTACCAGCCTGGCAGCCAGAAGTGTTGCCCTTTCTGTAACAAATTGTCTCTTGAACACTCAGACTCAACAAGCAAGAATGATTTTAAATGGCTCGAGGAGATTTTAGACTAACTGAGGAGAATTTTTTTCCATGCATATGAATTGTTGAGTGTCTATGCGGCTGTATTTTTATTCCAACGTGGTAACAATGATGGTGACCATTCCCCTGGGGGTGAGGGGGGTGGATATAAGGAACAGGAGGTTCATAGTTGCCAGAATTTCCCCTCCTGTGCACAAGAGTAGGTAGGAGGTTAGAGCAAAGGATTGAGGAAACCTCCACCTACCAACTAGGAAGCCAAGAAGGGTTATGACCAAAAACTATAAGACTCAAATTCAGTGTGAAGATTATCCCTTGCATAGTTAAAATAGAAATGAATTTTAGACAATTGAAAAGTAGT